ACTATTTAAACGATTCTGATATTTTAAATTACATGTTAGTTTATTGATGCACATTTACTTAAAAAAAAAGAGCACCCCTCGCATCTATTAACATATTAAAGAGAAAATAAAACATCCAGGCTGATATAACGCACAATGGGGCATTACTCTGGGTGCTTCCTAAGCTAGGGAAATCTTATTTGTTTAATAATAAGTTGGTCATGAATATGCAAATCTGCATCAGTGCAGTACCTCACTGCTGTCACTATTAATGAGTTGCAAATTAATGTGACAACAAAAGGAAAATCTATTTACTGGCAGAACTGTAGTTTATACCTGGCTCAAGAGAGCAGCCGTCTACAGTCACGTCAGTCTGCTGAAGCAAAATGTGCACGTGGTGTGGACAAGGTTTGCTTCAGGGCCGGCAAACCAGAAATAAGCAACCCGCTGCTTTCACCCCCAAGGGTAGAAGACAGCGTTGCTCCTAATGATCCATCACACTTAACTTGCAGGAAAATCCCATTTCTTCACTCTGCAGTCATGGCGAACTGGTGCAAAGCACACTAACGGGTGAAATGCAGAACATGTAGGTGGGAAGAGGGTGTGGATATCTCGACGTGATACTTAAAGAGAACTTCATCTTCAGATCTATTTGGAGATTATTTTTTTTTCCCCCCTGACAACAGTCCAAGCTCACAAAGTGAAACTTGCTGGATCCCAGACACTTTCTGCTCCTGCCCCTCGTTCTAGCAGAAATGCAACAATTCTCAAGCGCATTGAGAAAAGACCTAATGTACGTCTAATAGACATCTTCACAATTGTGACATTCAACTCTTCTGTCCTGTGTAGTGGCACCAAGCTCTCTCCTACCAACACTGGACCCACACTGCAATGAAAATATGGTGTTCTACAAGCAATTTGAAACATATATGATACTATTTTTTCAGTTAGCTTGCATCCGTACAAGTTTAAAGTAGCAATGTGTGCTTTTTTCCCATAGGAACTGAAGAAATGATGCTGAATGTTTACCAGCAGCCCTGCGCAGCCTGGGAATGGCAGCTGCCTGCGTTTACCACTCCCTGACACCTTGTTCATATGAATACACAAACGATGGCTCTCATCTATAGTTTTGTTATTTAGCACAGAAATGAAGGGAGGAGTCGGCTTCAAACTCTGTGATTCGTGGAGTGAGCTTGGCCCCTGGGAGCAGTTTTTAAGACAATTTCCATTCTGCTCCTGTGATCCTGCAAACTCGAAGCTGGGTCGGGCATCCGGGCTCTCCCTTTAGCAGATTGCTCCCCAAAGAGCACACACAAGGACCGAACGCCTCGGCGCAAGTCTCCAGCTAGGCCACCAAAGCAAAAGGGGGAGACAACAGCGAAGCGGAAGAAAGGAGAAGTGTCCGGAGGGAGAAAAAAAACCCAAATGGGAAACAGAGCCGACCCCACTATGCAGAACCCAGTCCTCTTGGGTAAGGGAAGAAGGCGAAGGAGGAGTTCAATATTTTGCAGTCCTCAGCAGCATCACTTATCTCCGGGGGGAACCTCCCAGCACTGCCCATGCTGTGGCTTCCCCCCCAGCCCTGCCAGGCAGCCTGCCTGGAGCTGGGGATTTTCTGGGATTTCCCAGCCAGCACCAAGTAAAAGTTCAACCAAGGAAACTCCCTTCAGTGAGGCTCACCTGCCTGCTCTAGCTGAAGATGGGGGGTTTTTTTGTTGTTTTCTTCCCCCACCTCCCCAATTTACCAGTGGTTCTCCAACACCTCTGTGGGGCAGCAAAACCTTCCAGCCAGGCAAATCCAAGTGATAAGCAGGGGAAATTCAAGAAAACACCTTGGCTTGGGGCCCAACAGCACCAACACTGCTCTTCACCTTGCAGAGGGCAGGACACAGGATCAGCAGGGTTTTACCATCCCCAAAGGCTGTGTTTCTGTTTCCTTATTTTTTATTAACCTGGAGCAATGCCAGCAGCGTGAAATGAGTCTCTTTGGCCCATGGAGGATGCACAGGAAAGTTTTTTAAAGGAGAGCAGCATTGAGTCCAGAAGCTGAACATCAGCCCCCTCCCAGCCCCGTCCTGCCGCGCTGGTTGGAGCTAGCTCAGTCCCCGGCTCTGCGCCGTGCAGGCTCCAGCCAGTCCCGATGCTGGCAAGGCAGCCAGCGTTTCGACTGCCCTGCCTACGCTCACTGTGACCAAGTTTGTTCCCTGCCGGTGCGCTGCCATCTCTCCTCTCCCCAAGGTAACCGTCCCCTGGGCTTGCCTGCTGCAAAACTAAGCTTGCAGCCAGCCTCCCCCGTGACAGTCTCTCCCAAATGGCCCAGAACAGGGTCAGCCTCGTGTACTCAGGAGGGACCGCTGCCCTGCTCCTTCGCTGAACCCTCCGTGATCTCTCAAGCCCCCTCGCATGGTGAAGTCTCTTTAAAAAAAGTACATCCTAGAAGATAAAATGGTTCTGTTATGTCAAGGGGCAGCGCTGCGATCAGGTGTTCCCTGCCACGGCCTTATTTTTAGAGTGCAGACAGGCCCCGGGGCAGGCACACGCTTGCATTACAACAGCATGAGGCTGTTACTGTATTTGAGCACGGATGCAAGCGCCAGCATGGAGAAGGCCCAACTGTACTCAGTGGAGATAGTGGAAAGCTGACTAAGCGGAGACATTTGGGAAGCACGTGCTCAAGATCGTTTGAGGAGGAGCCGGCCAAAAGAGGAAGCCACATCAATCTTCTCCTTGCCTGCGGGGCACGGCGAGAAGCGAGGTGTCTGCCACGCACCCCTGGAAGTGGTATGAAGCTGATTTATGCTCAGCTCAAACCATCCAAGCATTACACAGCTGATCAGATAAAGGTGTCTGTAACAATTGCTTTTAACATTCTCCCTTGCCTTAGTTTTTCTGGCCCTCCTCTGCTTTCTGGGAAAATCAGGGGGTAAAAGCACCCAGCACTGGAGAGGAGGGATGTCTGAATTTGAGCTCCTTGCAAAGCTGGAGGCTGGCTTAGAAGGAAACCCAGGGTGTCCGTGTAAGCCATACAGGAGAGAGCATCATCATCCTTATCTGAAATCTGAGGAAAGATGGTGGTGGTTGTATCAGGACTAAAAATTCTCTGCCCTGTGGAGAGACAGGACTTCAGCTGCCAACAGCAGCCAGCTATTGGACCCCTCTCTCGCCTCTCAGCTCAGCTACAAAACCACCTTACCCCCCCGAAGCAGTCCCACTGTAAGCCACACGTACAAACATTTGGCAAAAGACTCGATGGCAACACACCGAGGGAGGCATCAGCCCTGCGTCTGTCTTCTGGGGCACCTTCAGGAATGAGGTGTCATTCTCCCTTACCTTCAGGATGAGGGTAATTCACACTGTTTCTTCAGGATCCCCGAGAGCCAAGATTTAACCTGCAGTTCGCTGACCATTAATCAAAACCTCTGAGCTTCACTGCTCCACGGACAGAGAAACTTTTTCCCAGATGTTTTCCTCAGATGGACCAGGTTCTCTGCTCGAGACCCCTTCAGTGGGTGTATTGGCTCTGATCAGAAGAGCAGCGCAATTTCAGCGTCTCAGCTGAAGCATCGGGCTATGACAGGACGTGCTACTGTTAAAAACAGTCCCAAAGCAAAACTCCAGATTTTGGCTTCACACCAAGAACTTCTTTCCACAAGGAGAAGGGCAGACCCAGACCCTTAAGAGAGGGCCTGCCCAAGCCCTGGGAGCCCAGCCTCTTAAGATGCAAGTTCCCGAGCTGTGTAAAAGTGACATTCTGTTCATCGGCCCTTTAGATGCCCCCAAAGGGTGCTCACAGCCTTAACACTCTGCATTAAAACTAAAGCATTTACCCTGGTACTATTTTCCATCCCTCTGCAGGCATCACTGAAAAGAGAATTCAGTCGATTCAACCTAAAAAAGATGACAAAGGAGGGGAAATAACTGAACCTATTCACAATTTTTTAACTAAAAGGTGACGCAGAAAGTATTGTGAACGCCGCTTTTAAACACCTGTCCGTCAAAAGGCGCCCGCCCGATGTTTTCTTATAACCTTGAATTTAGAAAGCCGATGCAGATTCTACCTCAGATTTCATCAGCTGCTCGCCGGCACCTGTGCCAGCTCTGCTCCGCTTCGGGAACCGCACGCAGAGCCTCCTTTCATAAACATTAATGAGTCAGAGCTCATTTCGCAACCAGGCACGGAATTAATGGGAGTCACTTTAGCCTCTTCATTTCTCAACAGTTTTATTGCCTTTAAGAAAATTTTTGTAAAATATAAATACAAAGGCAGGAGATTTACTTACAAAGTTAAAACACAGATCTCAAACATAAACACACAATTCAGAAAATTTAGTTTATGTACAGTTTCAAGCAACTTCAACATATGTTAGTTTTTCAATATTTTACAAGGTACAGAAAAAATAGTTCAAAGTCTTCTTTAAATAAAGAGCATAAAATGTTTAAACATATATAAACAATCCGGTTTGATGTGTGAAAACTAAATTTCACAGCTTTTAAATTAGGATATAAAAGTTCTTACAATTAGTTGATGCGTATGGATATGGTTTAATTTATATTACAAACTATTGAATTATATTCAATAGCGCTTACCTGGCCAAAGCAGGTAATTCTGTAAACAAAAAACCAAAAATAATATCACCAAGTGCCTTACCGAATTCTATCTCCCAAACAAGCCACACGACTTTGATCACATCACCTAAAAAGAGTATGTTCTGTGTAATCAGTGCTTTGTATGAAACAAAGTCAATGTGTGGGTGTGTTCTTTTAAAAAAAAAAAATGTGTTCCGAGTAATAACAAACTTATCCCAAAGCCTGTGTGCATTTAAAGAAACATTATATAACAATTTTGTAAAAACTGATTGAAGTTAAAAAAAAATTCTTCCAAAATCCATCCAACTGGAATTCAGATCTCTTATATAAAGGAAAGATATTTTCATATTTAATAGTGTCCTTTCTTTACAGAAACAATTGCATTTGAACACATATACATAAAGAAGTAACTGTATAGAGCACTGTACATTAAATGGCCTGATGGTTCACCAGAGGATGTCGAAGGGAGGGTCCTCGTGCGGATGCAACCAGTGAAGCGAGGAGCCGAGCAAAGTCTTGAGTTCGCTTGTAAACTCTACCAAGTCCAACAGCTCTTTGCTCTCCGGGTTAAAAGCTTCAAGGTCCGTAGCGCAAGAGAACAACTGGCTGAGGGAAGTCTGTTTGTAAAACTCTGCCTCTGTGATGGTGACAACTTCCAGATTGGGGAAGTTGCAGCGGAAGATGCGAGATGACATTTTTAGCCTCTTCACAACGTCCGAGAGCAAAAGCCAGTTCCGTGGTCTGTGGAAGCGAAGGAGAAAGAGGCTTCAATAACCGACACTAAGTCACAGCTTCTTGGCTCCTCACATACTGCTGTGTGACAAACCTTCCCTGGCCGTACCCGCACAAACCACCCCCCCCCCGAAATCAAGGCCATCGCCCAGGGGGTCGAATGTAACAGACGTGCAGGCACGTATGTATTTACTCATAGTACCGCTGCCCACAGCTTTGGGGAAGGAGGGCGGTGCTGGGCACGCAGGGGCACCGGAGCCCATAAACCCAGGGCTCCCGGGGCGCGCACGTGGGTCAGCAGCCGTCCCGACAGCTCCTCGCACGCTTAAAGGTTCGCCTGGCTGAGCCCGACTCCCATTTAGCAAGTTAGGAGAGGGCCTAGAGTTATAACCAGAAATTTCAGCACCTCTGACTTCCAGAGATGCTCATATTAAATACAAGTTGACAGAGGGGGAGTTCTCAGATTAACAACACAATTCTTTAATTAAATCTTTGTACTTGTCCACCTCAGAGAACTTGTTATATCCATCACCCTAATAATATAAACATACTAAACCCACACTCCTGCATGATTGATATTTAAAACTATTTTTCCCACAGCTGTCATCAAAACTGGTGCAAATGACAAACAATAGCTATTTATGAAGCTGATTTAAATCTTGAATATAACAGATAATAAAATTTTCCAGGTGTTTGGCTATTATCAAGTATCATAGTATCTTCTGCAAGACGTTTATTTGTTTGATACAATTCAAGGCTTTAAACCGGTTTCGCTGCAAAGTCTAGACAAGCAGTAACAGTGTCATTCCATCATCCGCAAAAGCATGTCCACTCAGCAAAACAGAAAAGCCCATTAAATAAAATTAAGAACACCTTACAAACATGATCCTCAAATTTAAGTGCTAGAAGCATGTGTATTTTGGGATGTTCTATCAAGGTGCCTGCCTGGGATCAGAGAAGAAATTTGTGTTGAAATGTCACTCATCCTGCTCGGGAGTATGGCTCTTAAAACACAGCGCCGGCAAGTCAGCCTTTCCCCCTTCTCACCTCCTATTAGCTTATTTCTAAAAAGGCCGGCAATTACGGTATCGCGCTCTCATTTACATGAGATAAATGCAAGCACTTCTCCCCATGGACACAAACTGCCGCCATCCCAAGCAGATCGTCTCAGCTATTTTTACCCCAAACCCCGTATTTGTTCTTACCCCTGAGAGAGACACACTTGAATGTTGTAACATGGCAAGGGAGGCTCATCCGAAAATTCAAATTCAAACACATCGCTATAGCAATCTTCATCTTCATCACCTGGGCCGGGAGGATTTGCCAAGATGTCAAATCCAGATTCATCTTTTGGATCTAAATAAAATTGAATAAAGGTGCCAAGTCAGCATTGAAGAGACAGTTGCAGCTCTTGCTTTTTCTTCCAATAACGTGATCTGTAAATAAAATCAGTTTGTTTCCTTCCTAGCTTCCTCCACCATAAAACAGCCCCCACCCCACGTGCCACATGTTTTGTAAGTCTCCGCATACAAAGAAATAAAGGGTAACATTTGCTCACCGCACACAGAGCTGCCATAGAAATCCCAGTACAAACCAGGGTCATCAACACTTCGACCTTGCAGGTCAGTTAAATACTCTGGAGAGGAAAAAACAGCAACAAAAACATACTGATGAGAACAAAAAGCTGGCAAGTTTAGCAGACCGTGTGTCATACAGAGTCTCGCTTATGCATCCTCCACACCTTTTATCAAAAAACCTGCACCATACTCCTGATGCACATGCTACAAAGAAGAGCACGTACACACAGCACTCTTGCAAATATTCCCAGAATTCACTTTTCTCCCGCATCCTTTCTCCCATCACATCAAATAATGACCCACCACATCAAATAATCACCCACGGTCCGAGAGGGACAGACTCAACCTTAAGCTTCAGTAACTGAGAGCAGCATTTTATTTTGTGAAAGATAGGATGTACCACACTTTTTAGCCTGCACAGTTATTCTGGACACCAACTTGGGGGTGCAACAGTGGCCCCAAAGAAACTGATGGAAAAGGTTTTTCTACACAAATAACATTTAGAAGATGTAATTCTTTCCTACAGATATAATTTTGGGAGATTTGCTAGTTGAGTTGATGAAAAGATACTGGGATTCAGGACACTAAGAAGTCCAAGATTTACTGGAGTCCTGATACACCTACGTGCTTTCTACACGGCACCATTTAAACAGGTAAGTGGATGAGTACTTAAACTCATTGACTATGAACTTGCATTCCCTAATAACATAATAATATTTGCAATAAACATTTTCAGAGGTAAGTTATTAGGGAACGCAAGTATCTTTATCCAAAACTAATAGGAAAAAAACCTAAAACCATGTTAGAACATAGACATGCTTAAAGACGAGAGTCTTGAACATAGTTTTACGGCATTTCAGATATAAAATGAGGCAGAACTTGCAACAAGACAAGTACTAGAAGGATAAAAACCAAGACCGTGGGGAAAATATGATTATGTTTAACAAACAGCTATTTGATTTGGCAAATTTCTTACTTTCATTGCAAGCAGAAAACTGAAGGCACCGAAACAGCCTGCTGACCTCCCACCTATCAAATCTGATAGTGGCATCATCCTTATGACTTTTCAATTAAGAGTTTCAACGAGAAGGAGCCCCCCATGCACGGCTACACTTCCCACCTGCAGCTGCTGGGGTTTTGCAGAGGGGGAGCTACTGCAGCCTACTCTAATGCTCCTCAGCACGGACCCATCCCTGCTGGGCAGCAGGACTTGGGGGGGAGCGCAGAAAATGTCCCCCTGTTCACCACAGCCAGCGGAGCCCCCAGCAACATGGCCACGCACCTGTGAGGAAGGTCTCCATGAGCTCACTGTGGGTCATTTTCACGATGGTCCTCCCCGAGTAGGTCGCAAGCGTTGGGTCAGCACCGTAAGACAGTAACAGGCGGACAATTTCCAAGTGATCGTTTTCGACTGCATCATGGATCGGTCTATGGAAATAAAAAAGATCACGGCGTTACATTTTTGACTCAATAGTATTATGCAAATGTATATTTGACAAGAAACTTCTGACTTCAGATCAAAGTGATTTATAAAAAATAACACTATTAATACAGCTGCCAATCATCTCATTGTTGGTTTTACTTGCACATCATCCCCTCCCCTCTTGTCTTTTCACAGTCAGACTGCTCGGGGCAGATATTTCTGTTACGTCTATTCATTGCCGTACATATTTCGAGGGCCGGTAAAATAATTACAGCGCTGTAACAGAAAGCAGGAGTTTTTGCGTGAAGCCTCACAAACATCATTTTGCTGCAAGTCACTCTACCATTCCAGATCTCTGCCAATTTAACAGCGTGTTGTGGAGTAAGGGCTCATTCAGCCTGCCTCTGGGCAAGCACGGAAATCAGTTACCCAAAGCTCCTGAATTACGTACACAGAAATAAGTTATGAAAATTTGCTGGGAATTAAACTTCTGTGCTATACCCTCTTTAAATAGTCCTGTCCACTCGGAGAATAGAAAAACATGTCATTTTAAGTTTAGTCCACCCAGAACTTAACGCATTTTATGCGGCACGAGCAATCTATACAAGCTCAGACATACATTTTGTGAGCCTACAGAAGGATTATTCATTAATACACGTCTGCAATTCCAGGTTTAGAATTTCTTATCACTAATTATAAATCGCATTAACTTTTGCCTTTAAAATTGATTATACGTAACGGAGAGTTGTCTGGAAGTAGAACATATTACCCTTCAGACTAATGAAGATGTGTTAAAATCCCATCTTTTCCTCAGAGAGCGATGAAGAGGGAATTGAAAAGGGAGTCAAATTCAATGGCCAGTGATGGTGGCAGTTCAACTCAACCCTACCTACACTCCTTTAGGCTGTCAACACCGCTGCCCCCCAACAAGACTTTCAAGCTCTCAAACAGATGTATTAAAAGGCAAGAGAAGCAAATAAGTAATTTAGCTTAAAGTCCCTCCTGCAAGGAGGCCAGGTCCCACCACTCCTTCTGCCACCCGCGGCACTGTCCCCTCTATGCCACCACTGCTTTGGCATGGACTAGCATCCACGTGGGCTCGGGGCAGAGGAGAGGCAGATCAAACCAGTCAGAAGAGGAAGGCACACCACTGTTTTCCCATCTATCACACAGCACTGCCGGTGGGAGGGGAACTCTGATCCATCTCGAAAAGAAATACGTTCCTGGTGTGTTTATTCCAAGTACTTTCCAGTAGGACGGGATTTAGGCCAATTAACATCTGTCACACGTGAAGCACTCTCGCTTGCCCCCATCTTGCTGGAAAGCTGTATGCAGTTTTGGTTTCGACATACGCACACTACATTGACACGAGGAGGTGCACTTAGAGGCTCATTCCCTACGGAGAGGGCTCGTCCTGCGCTGCTTGCCTCCTGCACAATCTTCAATCCAGCTCACACCACCCCTCAAACCTCCGGCACCAGGGAGTGCAACACACGAACGCCTTCAAAGCCCGACATGCCGCTCTTTGGAAAGTCACTTTCAAATTTTAAGCCCAGAGAAGTCCGTGAGGATCACTTGCAAAGGGTCAGGATATCCCTTCTCCATTTCTCAGGGAAGTCTCTAACAGAACACTGAAACTACCTGATGCCCTCGAGACAGACGGTGCTGGAAAAGCCAGCATTCCCGGGGTCCCCCGCAAGCCTCAGCCTCCCACCTCCACTCAATGCTTCTGCACAGGGACTGCCGCAGCACTGCGTGCCTGCGCAGCACCCAGCGCATCCAGGATCTATCTGCCTGGTGCTAAACACCCCAGGCGATACAACACCAGAAGTAACAAATAATAGGGGCGCTGACACGGAGGCTGAAGAAGTATCAGGTGTTGCTGGCTGTCAGCAAGCATCTGAGGCCCGAGCTGTCGGGTCACGATACTCTGAGCATCTCCAGCGGGAAAGGTCAGCCTTGCTGCAAACCCTCCTGTCCCCCACCGGGCATGAAGCATCCCTGGCTGAAAGTCTGGCAACAGGCACTCGGAACAGATGAGAGTTACGGCTGCCGCCAAATGCTGGGGACGCTTTTTCTCTCCCACTCTCTCACTTTACTAGAGCCTTTAATTTTGAATTGTTTTCCATTTTATTTTAGAATTAAGATTTTTCTGGTTTTGGGGGGGTGTGGGGTGTGGAGGGTGTTGTGGGTTTATTGGTTTGTGGGTTTTCTTGTTTGTTTGTTGTTTTTTTTTTAAACTGCCTTACCTAAGTGGCTTTTGAAGCAGTAATGAATTCAAGATGATCCCTTAACTTATTAAAAACAGCATCTGAATCACCGCCCAGTGTTTCAATCGATTTAATGACACCCGGACGAGTTTATTAAAGGGCACCTGGGTCTTCCCCAGGAAGGAAAAATCGCAGGGCATGGGCTGTAACGCCGGGATGGGACCCGCTCTACGGGTCACCCAGCCTGGCACAGCAAGGCAGACAGGACAGGCAGCGGGGCAGGCAGCACCATCTTTGTCACCCACCGGAGCACAGGGAGGATGCCCTCGGCTCGAGAGGGGACTGTATAGAGGCAAGGGGAAGGAAAAGCGCAGTAAAGCCGCGTGGAAGAACAATAAATAGAAGGAAGCGAAGGAAGGAAAGAAAACACTGGCGGGGAGGGGGTAAAAAAAGGAGATTCCCGATAGCTAAGGCAGGGGAAAAAAGGCAATAACAGAGCGCTGACAGACTCTTTTACTGGCTAGCACAGCTTCTTGGCAAGCTCATGAGCGGGACCGTGCAAAGGCACAGCTACTCATGTTTGCTTCTCCCACCAGGGCCGGCAGAGGAGAGAGTATTTTTCAGTCTTGGCAGAGTTTAACCATCCTCTTTGTAGGACGCAAAAGTGACTACTGGAGTTGGCAACTTTTTCAGATGTGAAAAAAAGATCTCTGGGAGTCCTCTCAGAGTCCTCTCCTGGGCTGCTTTGCCCATATAATCTTTTCCGCCCTGAGCATCGTGGAAATAAACGCTCTCTATTCCTAATGGTACAGTTAATGGTAGCACAGCTCGTTTCTAAAACAAACCCTTCAAAAGGCCCCAAAAGGATCTGGGGACATTCGAGAGCTGCAATATCCTACAGGAGACACACATCTCAACCTTCTCTTGTGTACTGTCGAATTCTTCCTACTATTTTTACCACTACTAGAGTTAGGAAAACATTTCACTGGGGGTTTATCATTCCACCACCAAAATTATAAACTATTTAGACCAGTCAGGGTTTGCTCTCAGCCTCTCAGGCACCATCAAAATTTTCCTCGCTGCAATAAGAGGTCTCGTAACTCGCCGAGTAATACCATATCTTGGCGTTTTTATTTTTATTTCCATCTACTCTATCATGCAACGCTGTCCCACGGAAGAGGCAAGGCACAAGTTGCAGGAGGGCAGCTACGCCGGCTGCCTCTTCTTTAACGCAATTAGCTGCTGGAGGGTATTGCTCTGCCAAGCCCAGCTGAAAGGACGCAGGAAGAGAGCCATCTTGGCATGGTCCTCCCAGGGAAAAAATAAAAAAGGCTGAGCTCATCAGCCGCCAGCGAGAAGGATAAAGCAAAACTGGCTGCGGAGAGTGAATCTAGCGAACGGACTCTAAAGCAACGGAGAGGCCTTGCTAACAGGCAGGAGATGCCTGTATGTCTGGCATGTGGCTTTGTTTTTTAAAGCAGCACCGGTTCAGCTAGGGCATGCTGCGGAGGAAAGAGAAGAAGAACAAGGATATAAGGCCAAATACATCGGTAACCACCCTTGCTAATGTCAGGCACCGGTCGTGGTATGCGCCTTGTTGAGCTACTGCACTTACTGGGGTCCTGTCAGGGAAGGAAAGCGCTCACCTCTTAAGCACGGTCTATTATTATTTATAGGTAAGACGATTAAGAGCCCTTAGTGACTGCGGCACCTCTGAGACAGGTCTTAAAGATATCGCCCCCGTTCTACAATAACCTTTGATTAGCCAGTAATTCAGCAGCAGAGTGTTTGTGTATTCAGGGTCTGCGGGCGCTGCATTTGGAGAGCCAGCCGTCACCAGCATGGAGTTTAAGGGGAAAACCATAGACGATGTATTTAGCCCGGCCATGCGCTGTGAATAGGGCAGAGAGAGGGATGCTGTGCGCCGCAGGCAGCAGCGGGTGCACAGGCAGAGCCCCAGTGCTGAGCTGAGGGTGAAGGGAAGGACTTTGCACCATCCCTACACACCCCAAAGGCCGCCTCCTCCTTGCCCTGCCACTGCAGGCTGAGGCTTCATTTGGGGTTTTTTTTTTTGGCTTCACCGAGATTTCTGATAGTATCAGGAACCAGAGGCTGGAAGCTGACCTTTTCTACTGAACTCGCAACAGACTGGCTGCGTAGGTGCATAAAAGGCAAAACCAAAGAAAGAGGTTCAGGTTTTTGTGTCATTGTCAAAACTTAACCACATGCGTGTAAAACCACAACATTTGATCGGAGGACCTGCAGCACTTCTGACGGGATTAAAAGGAGAGATGCAGAACTTTCCCCACATCCTTCACGTTCATATGGACAATTTGTTCAGGCTGAACCCACGTCCTCACTTTCCACAACTTTTCAAAGAGAGTCCTCCAAAAAGTTGACCAGAGAAACGGCAGGCAGCAAGTAACGCAGACCGAAGCTTCAGGCAGCTGGGATCCAAGTGACACCCCAGGCTGCCACACTAACAAAGACAGTGTATGCAGTTACATCACAGCTCATGCAGTTACATCACACCTCTCTGTGGATTTACTTGAACTGTCTGAACAGAACTAAATGCATCCACTGTTACTGTCTGGAGACTTGAGAGCTTCCGGCACGACCAAAAATATCTTTGGCTAGTGGGCTTGTGAGGTGGCAGAGGAGGCAATAAGGCACATTCAGTGTAGTTAAAAAGCAGGGGAGGGGGAGAAGTCTTTGATGGTGGGTTTGTATGGGTTTGGGTTTAAGATTTTAATATCTTTCCAAGGGGTGAATGTGTTCAGGAATTTGAATTTTAAAAGCAACACAGTTGAGGAAGACTGACAGTTCTTTCCTCCTAAAAGTCAAAGGAGAAAAACTTATTGAGGCTTCCAGAGAGAAATGGGATTTGTCTTACGAATGTCATGATTTACTCTACAGACAGTAAAGTCTTTGAGACTGACCAAAAGGCAGGGGACAATGCTGATCACAAGTTCCTTACAGAAGCTTCTGCTTTCTGTCCTGCTCAATTCAGGGCAGCCAGACCATCTTTCATCTGTGTATTAGACATGTTTCAGATTCACACTGTCTGTTGGGCAGCATTTTTACGCCCCCCCCCCAAAAGTCTGCCATCAGAAAAGAAAGGGGACCACAAGCTGAGTTCTGACATTACCATCTATGACCAGATCATTATTATGCTCATTTCTAAAATGCAATTTCCCCCAAACGGCTTTTCAGGGTACACAAGCCAAGTTTCTTTCTTGAAAATCAGCTCCATCTGTGAATCGAAATCAAAGGTGGACTCTGAACTGTGGAGTGATTAAGACTGATAAGAAACTTCCTGGGGTTAATTTTCCATATAAGTTATTCCGGCAAGTGAGACAAAAATAATAGAGGATCCTTTTTAGAGCAACTTGCCGCTGCTGCGTAAAGCTGGAGATGCAGAAAATGCGGGGCTGTGCAGTCAGCCTGGAGAGCTCAGACTTCTTACAAACCGAGAGATGGAGAAGGAACCTGACAATCCAGCCAGAGTTTCAATGTTTCTCCAGAAACGTTTCCTTTGGGCCGTGATGAGCCGGTAACAAGTGACCATCATGAACGGCTAATGGACCATCCTAACCGGCCCTCTTGGGGCTTTTGTTTTCCTGACTCCTCCCTTCCCAAGTTAATAAATAAAGAGCTTAAAAACAAAAGAGGCAGATTCTTAGCGATGCTAATTTTACCTCCCTGGCTATTTGGATGGTGATAGTGATAACAATGGTTTAAGATAACAAGCTGTAGGAGCTTCCCAGAATACAAAGCGGATCGGTCACCAAAATGCATAGACTGGATAATGTTCTGCATGTGCCGAGGAAAAGTTATCCCAAGGAAAAGTTATCCCAAGGTCAGCCCCGCGGAGGTGGTCAAAGAAGTACTTAAGGAGATGCACAAGAAGCTTAGAAAAGGTGCGGAGCAGCATTTCTATCTCCACAAAGCAAAGAAGAAAAGCTCACTATCTATTCTGCGAGCAGAGGAACTAAGCACCCCTACTATTCTGTGAAGGAAACTAAAATCTAAGCCTAATTCGAGTTTAAAAGAAAAAAAAAAACAACATAGCAAACGAGCAGAGAGTTTAACAGTTCAGCAAAACAACGTTTTTATATAACATATATATAAGACTCGCACACCCAATCGCCGCAAAAGCCTGAAGTGCTCTTAAAAGTAACCCTGCTAACAAGGCAAAACCCACTCTTTTGGCACAACTCAAAGGACCTGGAGCATGTACGAGCAGGGCTGCAGCTCAAGTATCACTCCTTCCTGCCCTGCAGCTGGGAATTTCACAAACTCTTCCAAAAAAAACCCAAAAAAACCCCCCAAAACCCAAGAAAGAAGGAAAAAAGAAAGCACACAACTTATTAAAATTCCCAGAAGAAAAAAAATTACACTGAACCTGAATCACAATAAAAGTGTGCCCCCACCGCTTTATAAACCAGAGAGCGGAGGAGGTCACCGAGTCCTGCACACTCCTGCCCAAGGATCAGCAATAAGGGATGGGGAGGGAGGACAGGGGGAGGATAAAGGACAGGCATAAAGAGAGAGGGAAGGCGCGCTTCCTCCCATCCTCAAGGCCAAAGAAACTACTGCCCGGTGGTGGTGACCACGGATGCTGGGCCGGGGGTGCTGCTAACCTGGTTCCATCCTGAGCGCTGCAGTTGACGTCAGCCCCGTACTCCAGGAGATGCCGCACGATGCTCAGCCAGCCTCTGGCACAGGCCTCGTGCAGGGCACAGTAACCTGCGTTGTCACGATGATTCACATCACACACCTTGTTTTCCAAACAATACAGAACCACTTCCTGGAAATAGGAGGAAAAACAGATACACTGAGTTATTTCACGCTGTGGAGATGCACAGATTTCTCTTCTTGAAGGAAAAGGCGGGGGAAAAGGGCAAAACACAAAACCCCTACAATATGCCTAAGTTACCCTCTTCGAGACAGGTGAGTTAAAAGGAAAAGAAAAGGGGAAGCCATTGAAAGTCCTGCTTTTTCAGCAGGCATAGCGGAGATCACGACTTCCCACGAGCAGAGTAGCTTGTGCGAAGCAGCACTGAGAGCTCCACGCCCCGCAGGGACCTTCCCACAGCCCCAAAAGTCTGGAATTGTCACAGAAGGGGAACATGCAAATTTTGCAGACAAAACTCACAGCTTTCCACTTCTCAAAACTTCCATGCGTAAAGCTATCAGGAAGGGTTTTACTCTTACATCTGCATTTTTTAGCAGAAAATTCTGCAAGCACAACAGCAGCACAGCCAACGTTCAGTTTGATTTTAAAAAGAAAAAGCGCGTGACCCGAAACAAAACACATTTAAGACACACAAAGGACGGTTTGCTATCAGCAAACAACAAAAAAAAAAAAAAAAAAAAAGCTCTATCAAGATCAGGGAAATCCCATTTTCACCCACCCTGGTTTTCTGCATGCAGAACTAAAGCCAGGCGCCAGGTTCCAATAACGAGCCGGGTGCCGTGGGAAGCCATGTGAATTTAACACAATTCATCTTGCAGTCAAATATACCACGGTCGAGAGCCTAGGCCAGACTCAGCTCTACACTGTCATGCAGCCTTGAAACAATGACTGCTCCATCACTCAACCAAAAATTTAGGACGGTGCAAGTCTTCCTCGATTCGTCTCAGATGCAAAAGAAAAAAAGAAAAAAAACCAACCCACATTTCTAAGTGATGTTGCATGTATAAAATATCTCCCCGCACACCCAGATTAGCGGCAAGCCTTTAATTTTGCGTCTGCTCCTCTCAAAGGCTGAGCAACACCCTTGCAAAGTGGGATACAGTGTGGAGGGGGCAAGTGTTTGCTTTGTCAAAGTAAGAGAATAAAACAACAGCCACGCGTGATGCATTTATTCCTCCCGTTTCAAAATCTGCCGGAAAGCCCGCAATAATCTGTGCTCTGGGTATACCTGACCCGAGAGCCGGTATCCAGGATACAGCATGAAGCTGCTCTTTTAGCAGGGCCTCACTAACCAGGCTGAAGCGAGGAGCTAATGAGCTGCCCGTCCCAGGCACCAGAGCATCCCCCTCACCTGCCGCCAGGACGGAGCAGTCCACCACCCGCACCGGAGGCACCCGCCGGTTTAACCCGGGATCCCCACAGTCCCACCTCTCACCCAACAGCACCTCTCCATGTTCCTGCTAATCAGCCCAAAGGCCAAAAATTGGTCCAGAAAGGATGCTCTTTACCCTGCACTCGCTCAAGCCAGTAAGAAAGGGCTGTGCGAAATCATCCCCCGAGGGTATGAATTTTCCTTCAAAACCAGACCACTCTGCCAGGCAAATTAGCAGATGGATATAGGTAGCAGAAGCGGCTGGCGTATTCGGCTCCACTTTTAGCATGCAGTTACCATTTAAAATAGATTCTGTGACTCAAAATAAAGGAACACCTTTCATCTATTTTTGTAAAAAGGAAAGGCTCGTCCTAGGGCAAAATACCTACTACTGGACGAAAAGGCTAATTTTGTCGGGCAATTCTGTGTTAAGAGGCTATAAGAAGAATGTCATTAACCACAAAATGTAACCATAAAGACCATAAAACTCTACATTGTTAATTAATTAAATGCCTCATTAACTTTTTTAACATGATTTATTCAATTTACAAAAATATTAGCCATCACTGCAGAATACAGGAACATGTGGTGCCACAAACACATTTTTGGTTTCATAAGCATCTCTCGCTAACGTTAGAGAAAGGCTGTGAAAGTGCCACGGGGCAATTTAATGTCTGTTCAGGTGCTCTATTTAAACCAGCAATCTGAAAATCGCTCGCAGTTAATCCAAAGACTCAAGCTAGCACATCACCAGCCAAGATATATATGTGCCACTGCCGCTTCTGCTGCCTGCAGTTTGTTAGCCAGATTGCAAACAGCAACGTTAAAAGGTGCACGCAAATACGCACGCTCCATCCTCGTCTACAAAGAGGTGCCCTTCGCTTTAGTCTCTCCCACTCGTGCTCTGCAGCAGCTCCTGCCCCTATTCCAAGGGAAGGGGTCAGGATCGCCCTGCGCACCCCCCACGCCCCGCGCAAGCGTGCTGCCACCAAGAAGCACTATTCCATTCCACCCAACCCCGAAATTGGGTCCTTGGGCAAAGCATTATAATCTGAGCCGTAACGCTTCCCCGCAGCACCACACCGTGCCACGCCAAACCCCAGAAGTGGTGCTCGTACCCTGGCAGGGTGCGGGACCCCCCAAGGAGCAAGGGCAGGACGATGCTCAGGAGCTCCTGCTCCTGCAGCGGTACCACTGGGGACCCAGGGCTGGAACGCCGTGTGAGGTGTCCCCAGGGCAAACCCTCTCCCCCTGCCTGGATAACCTCTGTCTTCATGAGTGTTTAAACCCCCTGGAAACAAACACCATATTTCCCCCACCCCTATCGCACACCACACGTTTCTCTAATTTCACTGCGTTCCCACTGATTTAATCCCAAATTCACTAGAGAACTTTCCAAGTCCAGACACACACCAAAAAGCAACAAGCGGCACAAAGACAGCCAGTGTTTCCTCTCCCATCAAATTCATTACGCAAGCCTTTTGTAATTTTTTTCCCAAAAAGACTTTACGCTCCCTATAATTCCCTCTTCACAAAAAGTAAATTACAGTTTTAAGACTACTATTATCTCAAGTCATTTGTTTCAAATGGGGAAAACAGAATGGATTCAAGAGCGCCCATACCCTGGGATGGGTTGCTAACATCCTGATGCAGGAAGGCCTGATGCAGAAGCCCAGCAAAGAGAAAGCAAAGCTTTCCACCAGCTTCAGCAGGGTTTTGCTCAGAGCGTATGGATTTCCAGAGCCGAAGACCATTTGCCGCACTGTCTTTAAGTACCCTTGTTGGTTGCAGCCCTGCAATTTATCTGACCAGACACATGCCGCATTTGTCCTTCGAGATTTCACTCTCACGTCAGCTTTTATACGCAAAATCATAACCATGTCCCCCCATCCACTGCTATCTGGGGTACATCCATAGTGTGCAATTGAGAGTGGGGCAGAGGCACCAGAGCTAGCAGCATTTGGGCTCTCCATGGGTCCGGGAGCGATATATACAGCTCACCAGCACCTCTGCATGCCAAAGGTGCCAGTGCTGCCTCTGGGTTTGGGGTGGGATCTCTGCACAGCCACTGGGCATCCCTGCTGCAAAGGCAGGGAGGCAGGCTGCCAAGGGCGGGCACCAGCTCACTCAGTCTCAGGGCAGAGCTGTTGGTGCTGCTCTGCCCCAATGCAACATCCCCACTACCATCAGGGCTCGGTGGTGCCCCATGGTGCCAGCTACTTCCAGCTCCAAGTGCTGCACCAGCACTTGGCATCCCTCTGCAAGCCACAGCCCCGGTGGCGCAGACTCATTCGCCTCCTCTGCCATCGGGCTGGTGAGGGGCCACAAGGCTGCAGCTATGAGAAGCCCTCACGTGCCTGTGAGCATCCAGTGCTCCCACTTCAGCATCAGCCCCAGGCCATCACGCTGCAGCCACCAAAGGTTGCTGCCCCGCTAACAGGGATGGCAGAAAACAGACGTGTGCAGCTGCCACAGGTCACAAACCAGCAAATTAGTTTCAGCCATTGAGACTTTTTTTTTTTTTTTTTTTCCTTTTTAAAATTAAATGGCGGAATTTGTAACTTCTTGACCGCTCTAATTTTACTGCAGATGGAGGGAATTCAGCTTTCTACTAACTGCAGTAGTCTGGTTGCTAGAGAAAAAAACAACACAGCCACAGAGCTTCCACAGCTGACCAAACCACTGCAGCTCACCGCAGGCCAAATGAAGCTCCGACAGGACGGTTCAGCCACCCACCGCTCCAGTCCGTGGAAGACACGGCCAATGCCAGATCCCGGTGGCAGCTCGGCGACATGGACCAGTCTCTCCCCGCTGCCCCGCTCAGCTCTGCTGCCCTGAGCTCAGCCAACAGCAGGACCCACTGCTGCGCTGTCAGCACCCACCAATCAAGTCAAACGATCGGAATATTTAAGCCTATTAAAAACATGGTGTTTGCTTGAACTTTTGGGTGAATTCAAGTCAGAAAATCAAAATCCCCAATCAGCTGATGATGGGAAGGCATGGTGAGCACACAGCGTTACCCCAGGGCCCAAGGACCCCCACCTTGGCAAGCCCGGGCACCCCCGGCTTTCTGCAACCAGCCCAGTACCGGCCAACACTGCAGATAGCTCCTGCTATCAGCAAAGCACACGGAGAGCCCTCGGCCCCTGCTTGAGTAAGACCTCAGCCCATCACTAAGTTTCGGAGCCGCTCCCATTCATTGAGAGCACGCCACGCACAGAAAGCAAAGTGCACAAGCACCCCACGGCAGCCTGCTATGCTTGAGCGGTGCTCACCCCGACAGACACCGCGCAGGAAGAAAATACACACCGATAGCTTGGAGCACATGCTACAACACATTTTGATTTTGGATCCATAAGAAATTTTAGGTCTGTAGGAAATTAAATCATTTAAATTATGGAGATTACCATAGCAACGTTGTAACAACCACTTCTCCTCCTCCTAGCTAGAGCTGAAGTGCCCTGGGTTAGAAGAAGCCTTTGTCTAGGGTAAACAAAACCTTTCCAACAAACCGTGCCTTCCAGAGCTGGAGAAGGCCTCTCTCCACACTAAGCTCTTCAGCCGTACAAAGGGCATTTGAGGCTTCAACAAACCCCTGAGGCTGGGCAGGCCCCACCTGGGCCCGGGCTGATGTCACCTTCCAGCGCGGGGCTCAACCCCAGCTCCGAGGTCCAAGCATTCCCTCACCACCAAGGCGAACCCCGCAGCCGTGCCGAAGGCAGCAATCGCTCTCTGCAATGAAACACCTCTTCACAAGATCTGAGGTCGAGCAATGACGACGCTCATACCTACATGCCCATATTTCCCCAATAAAAGCGTGCTTCAAAACAGCGGAGCTAGGGGATTCATCCGTTTCTGATTTTTGTAGCAACAGGGGGGCCGTTTCATTAGACAACATTGTTCCAGCTACGCCGAGCAGCTCCAGACTCCGAGCATAAAGCATGCGGAGCGCTCCTACGATGCATCTGATCATGCAAGAGGACACTCCAAGTGCTACATCCTGTGTCGCATACAAGATACTCCTTGGAGAAAAGAACAAAAAATAAAACCCCTCTCCTAAACTACACGCTCTTCACAAATAACAAAAGCAAAAATTGTACAGCTCATTAAAGATCACCATAAAGACTACTTTAAAAAGAAAAACCGACATTCATTCTGTTTGCAGATGGCTTATATTTAAACAGAATCAAGGGTTACCAATAAAACTTTACCCTGTGCTCGTTTGTGCAGGATGCTGCTCACCCTGCATCCTGCCAGCCGACCCAACAGTGGTGGGGACCAGGTTCCCGCATCGACCTGCCCCCCGACCCTGTGTGCCAGAGTGGGGGCCGCAAATTTCAATGACTAAACTCAAAGCTGCTGCTTCACAAAAACTTCCATCTATAAATCTGGAAAGAGGGTTTTAACTTTTGAAATTTTAAAAAAAAAAAACCAACCACCATCGTCCTGCAGGGCGTTGAGGGACCCTTACCTCGTACCCCAGGCGTGCCGCTCTCTGCAGCAGTGTTTCCCCCGCGTTCTTATTGACAATAAGCCTCCGCGCTTCAGGCGGCATGGGCCGGCTCGGGGTGGTCTCCTGAGGGGGGCTTGCGATCGGCAGCTGCGAGGGCTGCGAGACGGGTAGTAATGAGGGAGTCTGCTGCAGGCGATCGTACGGCTTCTGCTCGTACAACTTGGCTGGCGAGGAGTCACAGTCTGAAGTAGGCTCTGGTCGCTTCCTGACTTTCCTCGTTACCGTGACCTGTCAAAGCCATTATTGTGGGGTTTTTTAATCCTCATTTTTACAACGCAGCAACAGGATTATGTTTTGCCAGCAGAGTTACATTTTTCTACTCGTATTTAATTTTTCAAGAAAGTCCTGCTACATTTTTTAAATGCAAGACGCCTCACCCCCTGCAATAGTGCCTTTAACTTGGGTTAAGAAAAGCAAATACAAAATGTGCGAAGCGTCCACAGACAAATTTGAATGCAATCCCCGCTACCCTGCATGCATGACAGCGCATTAGTTTTAAGCAGGCTGGCTCTGCCTTCTGAGAGGCTGGTGGACAATTAAGTCTAAATAAAGATACCTTATCTTCAGCATTTTCGATATCTGTGGTGTCATCCCCTGTCAGAGATGACCTCCTTCTCCTCTCCTGCAGTGCCAAGTGTTTTGTTTTACACTGACGTTTCCCTGATGGCTTCTCACACTCGCTGTATTTCTGCAGCAGAGACGCACATTGGAAATCCTCCTCTTCGTCTGTGTACAGCCCATCTGTCTTCCGGCTTTCTTTAATTTTCTGCTGTTTGGCAGCCAACCTCGAGGCTGGAGTACAGCTTGGCTGAGCCTGCCTTTTGCTGTTTGCATTGGTGGATGAAAGGCTCTTCATGTGCGGAGACACTGGGAATACGGGCAAGCCTAAATGGGAAGGAAAGGCATTACACGTTGCATGGTGTGTTAAAAGGAAAACACATTGCTAGCACTTAACACAAGCTCCTCGACTGCTTAAGAGATCTACCAATTACATTTTCAAATCATCAATATTTTAAGCGTTCCACATTCAAATTGTAAATAGCATCTTGCCAGTTAACGTTACGGTAACAGTTATAATGCTCTGATAAAAATCGCTAAATGCAAAGCCCCGCGCCGGGTGCCGGGGCACTGCGAAGGCCGTGCCATGCCGTGCCAGCCTG